CCGCGCTCCCGCGGAGCTGATTTTTTAGCAAGACCTCTTAGACGCGACTTGACATCTTCGCCAACTGCACCCTTTCGATACCAGATTGCTCGCGACGAAAAGTGTTGAAACTCGCAAATCAAGAACTTGTTAATTTCGTGTACGTGTTTTTTTATTGTCTTGTGAAAGTAAAAGAAAGTCCGTACAATCAAGACTCCAGTTTTTCTTACGGTTCCCGATTTCCTCTCGCCTTCTACGAGACATATTGTGCTCGCAAACACTCTTCCTCGAACATGCGATTTTGTTGCACCTGCATACATAATTTTTCGATTCTGGCCTTTTTGGCGAATTCTGACATGTTTGCCTCTGCTGCCTCGATACGCTTGCTGTCGATCTTCTCAGCCAAATGTCTGCTGTTGGGCCCGATGTTAATTCCCAGCGTACTCATGGTCTTCAGAACGTCAACAGTATCCTTCGTTAAAGATGCCTGCAGCTATGTACGCCGATATTTCGATGGTTAGAACGCCGCAATGAAGGTGTTTTGGGGCCAGTTTCCACACGCAAACTCGTTATCGTTTTGCGTGTTTCCACCGGTGCATCTTTGCAGCAAATCGTCGTTGGAAAGGGCCTCGTAAACCGGTCGAATGACTGTTTGAACGGACTCGGAAAGGGGAGGTACGTGGTGGAAATTAGCGAGTCGACCCTCTGCTTCTGCGACGCACCACTTGCACCAGTTGTTTTCTCCTGGCGGGCAGTATTCATGTTTGGGATTTTCATCTGTGGAACATTTGTGATGAAATGTGGCCCACACAGCCTTTCTCATGTCGTCGGCCGAATCAGGGTGTCTTCTGATGGCAAGTACGTAATACAAAGTAAGATCTTTGATAACTTTGTCGGTCAACTTCCCTACACCTCTGCCTCCGATTCCTTTATGATTTTTCTGGGCATCAGGTAGTCGTTTACCCATTCGCTTTTGCACATGACCTACGCATTCTTTCTTTTCAACAGTGAGGTCGTCGTAAGGATTACATTGAAGGAGAGCTTCAAAAGTTTTAGTGTCTCCGTCGCCGATGTACGTTGCATATTTGACACCAAGCAAATGTGAGCGACAAAACATTTCTTTCATAGATTCCACTTCCATTGCACCAGAACTTCCGAAATGATTTATGCTGCAGGTTGCTTTGTGAATGTCATACCAATTATCATATTCCGCGGTTTCTTTTTTTGATGCCCAATTACTGCAGCTTTGACAGAAAGACGATTTGACGGAAAAATCTAAAACTTTATTAGTGAATTTTCCAATCAATGTTGCGACATCGAATAACGATGAAAATTTTCGTTTTTTCCACGATCCGTCGCCAGATAAACTTAAATGCGTTTCTGTATTTCCTGCCTTCACGTTTTGCTCCTTTTCTTCGGCAACCGTTTTACGTTGAATAATCTCAAAAGTGCTCTTCGCTGCGTTCAATAGATTATCGAGAAATGTGTAATACGTGCTGTTTGCAAAGCCGGCAGATAATTCCATAAGCAAACAGAAAATATTAATCGAATGTAGTCCAAGTCCCAACATTCGCATGACAAACATCAATCTGCGATTTATTTCGTAGGCAGTATTTATTAGCGGACTCGAAGAGACGCAATTTTCCTTCTTGCACATACACTTTATAACTAATCTGAAACCAAGTCCGCGTTCACACGTGCGAGTAAATCTTACATCACTGTCACATTCCTTACACTTTAGACACTGTGATAAAAATGTAAAAACAGTTAGAAAATCAAGAATGACGTTATTACGACCAATATCGATTTCGATATCATCGTAACTTGTGTCCTTCATTTTCTTCGCTGAAGTGCTCACAAAATCTTTTTCGTTTTCCATTTTTGCCGGATTGTAATTAAATTTCTTTTTTACTGGACGATTTGGACGTCTATGTCCCTCAGATTTTCGTGTATTTGGCATTTTTTAGCACTTTTATTTTCACACGATAGACGCACACGATCGACGCACGCGAGAACACGTTGCTTCGAGAAGAACGCTTGCCCGACTGAAAATACGCAGGTATACGAGTTTACAATAGATTCGAAAGTGTCGGAATTCGTTGGGAGGGTCATAAACTTCCTACCTCCCCACAAAGCCGCTCCGAGCGCGCGTTTATACCTGTTTTTCGGCCAACGGACTGTCTCTCTTAACGAGCTGTAACTCGTAAAATATGTTCGATATGAAAATATCCTTTTGCCCACATATTCTCAACAACATAAGGATGAAATTTAAGCAAAAAAAAAATCGATTTTTTTCATCGATTAGAACCAGCCCTTAAAGAATCGAACGATAAAAAGTAAATTTAAAGATATAAAATATATTTCGAAAATAAACGTAACAAAATAATTAAACGTCGAGAGATGTAAAAGAAACGCGATTAGCGGACCGCTACACTATACGGGTTACATGATCTGATAATGTGCGATGACAATTTGAGATACCGCGAAGAAGTTCTCGATTTATTGATAACGCGGAAATGATCCGTAATTACCATAATGGTGGGGAAGGATGATTTCGACCGTATCCCCACAGCGGCAACGCGTATTCGTGTTCGGAGCGCGGTTCGTGCGTACGGATCGCGGAGCGGGACGCGGCGCCACCGATTGGTCCGTCAGTACGGACAGTGGGCACACGCTCGCGGCGTGGGTATGTACCGGCTCGATGCGCAAGTACGGCGAGCGGTCCGCACGTGGCGGTTTAAATCCCCGGGACGTTCGGCGTCGTTAATACGACCGCACCGGAGGAGGATCAAGGATCGTGACGAAGGAAATGAGCGAAGCGATGCGCCCGAGAAACGCTCGGATCGAGGCGAAGTATCGCTTCGCCCTGGTATCGCCCCTCCGTGTGCAAGAAATTCAAGTGGTCCCTGCTGAGGAACGCTCAGCCAGGAATAGAGAAGCGCTCTACTCTCGGGTATTTCATTGCCATTGTGAAGTGAGAGTAAGGAAGCCTGCGAATCGTGACTTTACCGAGAAGCGCTCGAGCCGAGGCAAAGCAACTCTTTACCCCGGTGTAGTCGGTTCGCAAGACGGCCAAAAACTGGTGGTCCTCCTGGTTTTGGAGCTCCTTTTATACCCGGCGTCGGGGTCGTTCACCTCCCCTCCTCGCGACAATTTGTTAACGACGGTATAACAAATTCCGCATTCGGCTGAGATCGGCGCCGTTCGGTTATTTCCGGGCCGTTAGACGATCGTCGGCAACGTTTTTGTCAGCTGGACTTAAGCCGCCAGCCGACTATCTATTGAGAGCTTAAAAAAATGGACGCACTGCGTTTTTCTCGCCCGACGGCTCGTCGGTCGGGCGGCATCCGGTGGTTGTTCAGCCGGGAACAGGGGGCCCAAACTGCCATATAAAATGCCGCCGCAAAGTTTTAGCGCCATCTACCAACGCGGGGGGAACTAAAACTTATATACTACATATATACATGAATGTTTCTTAAATAGTACTTACTGCCCACTAATCATATAACACTATTTCTTATCAAAAATTGACTCAAAAAGTTCTAAACCTTTTTTTTACAATGCTCAATAAAGTAACAATTACTGCAGTAATTATATTTTCATTGAGTATTGCAAAAAAAATAATTCAGGGCTTTTCAATTCAATTTTCGATTGGAAATAGTACTATATAATTAGCGAGCACAATATAATTTCTATAATATAAATTAAACAAATCCTATCTAAAAAAAGGCATGTTAAGTCGAACTCGAAATGTATCGTTGTTCTCGAAATTATTGTTGACTCTTTTCCGCGACGCTTATAGGTTCTCTCACTGCGCTAACTTCGTGAGCGGCTGTCATTGCATTAACTTTTGACAGTTGTATGTA